AGCTAAAAGTTGGCAAAAGTAATGGAGTAATTTTATCTATTGGTATATGTACGTTACAGAGAAAAGTTAAATTTTATCCACTTCTTCCCCCTCTCGGGTGAGCGACATCCCCCGCGCCCCAGAAAATTTCTCGAAGCGCGGTTTTTTCAGTTTTAAAGAAAACGGTATACGATACATGGAAAAAGTTTAGGTAACGAAATGATCCTTAATAAATTTGTTATTAAACTCTTATACATACAAAACTGATTAGACTTGAAACGCAATCTACAGGTCAGGCCTTTTTATTGGAAATTTCGTCCTCTTTAATGATCTTTTTTCAAAAGTCCTTAAATATTAATAGTTTTTGAGTTATTAACGAAAAACTAAATATCTTTTTTTCATCTTATTTTGTTAGTAATAATTATAATATAATAAAATTGCAATTATTATTTACATAGATAATTGCAATTTTTTATTTAAATAAAATTGCAATTATCATACTAATAAATCCTCGAGATACATTTTTCTAGACATCATTCCGAATCTCATTCGATTCGGAATGATGTCTATCGTGGAACAACACGTATCGTGGATTAACACGTTTTTGAACAGACTAGACTAGTATACATACATAAGATATTATCATATTTACTTTTTCTTTATTGTTTAACACTGTATATTATTCTAGAATGCATGTCGCTATAGGCATGCATTATTATTTATTTAATCAATGAAAAGTAGGTTATAATTTTCTCAGAGCAATAATTAAAGTTCTGAAATTATTTGACATACGCGGTGAACGTTGATTCCAGGCGTAAAAGAGTGTCAATCTCTAAAATCTGACATTAAGGTGATCCCGACATGCGCCACGCACAGTGTTATTAAAAAGCCACTTATAGTATAATTGAATTTATTTCTAATTCGTGCGGGCGTGTGGGGGTGCGAGCGTGCGTGCATGCGGTCGATTTCCGCGCGAAACAAGTATTTGTAAGGCCAACAAATAATTGTTTCGGGTTAAGCTGATTTCTTTATACATTCATACGTTACAATCAAAAGTTTTCAGCTGAACATAGACCCTCCCCATAGCTTGCGGGGTTAATAGGGGTGTATTTGCTTTACTTGCCACTCTTGACAGGTGGGTTGGCAACCACAGTTTTTTTAAAAAAAATTTAAGTCGTTAATCAGAACATGCTTCTGCCCACCATCTACATATTTCATTTTCTTTTGTCGTTCACGAGGTTTTTTGGTGGATTCTCTTACGTCGCCACTTCACGGCATGGTTCTTTATCCTAGAGCAATTTATATAGTATACTGAATTCCTACAGGCAATAGAAAATATTAATGCTTGCACAATGCACAATGCTTGCTCGGTTTGTACTTTTGGTTTACGTATTTCGCTATTTGGTTGAAGTAAATATAAATTATAAAAGCAATAGTCATACCTATGCTTATTCGAAAAATGGAAATTATCTAAATTGAAAAGTTCTCAAGCATTTGTCAATTGAAAGAATTTTACTGCGAAAGGTTATGATTTTCTTTTTCTTTGTTCCATTTCGATATGAAACCTTTGACCTTTATTTTAAATACGCAGTCAATATTACAAAAAATTATATTTGGTGAAGAAGGTTGCTTAATAATAAGTACGAAGAAATTGAAATTTTTGTTTTGCTGATGCTAAGATGAGATTTAATTGTAATTTTAGTATATTTGTATGTCCTAGTGCATTTATTATTTAAAATTTAAGTGGTATATATATATATTTAAATGACTGCCTCGTTGGTCTAGTGGTTGTAGTAGTGCGACTGCTGATCATGAGGTCCTGGGTACGCATCCCGGGTCGGGCCGAAAAAGTTAATTATTGAGTTTTTCCAGAAAAAGTTTTTCGAAAAAGTTAATTATTGAATTCTCTGTGGTTGCCCGGAGTCAGGAAGTTGGCGGTGTCTCACCCCGTGTCTCGGAAAGCACGTAAAGCCGTTGGTCCTGCGCCTGATCTCTCTCCGGTCGTGTTGGTTTACCGTCCCGTCGGATTAGGAGAGTGTGGGAATATCGAGTGCACCTGTGCTTGCGCATACACTTGGGCACTATAATCCTGTCCTGCGCCGATGGCTAGCCTCCGTTGAGGCAGGGCGCCATGCCCGAAATTCGGTCTGGAGGACATTATTATTATTGTATATTTAAATATCTTTGCTTGATGGTAAGTGAATGCTATGACACATAGACATCAACATCTATCGTAGATTAGGAAACAAAATACAGATGCGTTGTTACTCCAGATGATAAAGTTACAGCCTACAAACATTCCACTGCACAGGCATCCTCTCATTTCTGAGAGGATTTATGGGAAAGGAACCGTCTGCCGTGCAGCCCAATACGTGTGGGCAACTTCACATGTCTTCAAAATATTTTTACCTTATTTCTCAGACGTGCAGGTCTCCTTACGATATTTTCCTAGATGTTACTCGTTACAAGTTTAAACGGTCTCCGGTTCTCTACGCTTACAATACAAAACACAGCATCGTTATTCTGTTGTTTTGCACAGGCATTCTGAGAGAGCGTGGTCCTGCCTTGGTCGAGCCGATACGTTCAAGCTGTAGTTATGCAAAGTTAGCAGCGTGGCTCCAGCACGTAAAATATTTAACTAGCATAACTGTACTGGCTCTACAATGTAACAAACGTCTTCTATTGTAAGAGATGATCATGGAAAATATTTGGTAGAATATATGGTGGAACAACCATTTGCGTATAAAGCTAAAGAAACAGCCTATATCTACTGTCCCACCGTTGGGTACTGGCCTCATCTCTTTTCGGAGGAGATGCAGGAGCAATAAGTGCACTGAGATTACCAACTTCCTGACTCCGGGCAACCACAGAGAATTCAATAATTAACTTTTACGAAAAACTTTTTCTGGAAAAACTCAATAATTAACTTTTTCGGCCCGACCCGGGATGCGTACCCAGGACCTCATGATCAGCAGTCGCACTACTACAACCACTATGGTCTAGTGGTTGTAGTAGTGCGACTGCTGATCACGAGGCAGTCATTTAAATATATATATATATATATATATATATATATATATATATATATATATATATATATATATATATATATATATATACCACTTAAATGTCTTTGCCATCAAGTTATAAAAATTTAAGTAATAAATGCACTAGGACATACAAATATACTAAAATTACAATTAAATCTCATCTTAGCATCAGCAACAACAAAAATTTCAATTTCTTCGTACTTATTATTAAGCAACCTTCTTCACCAAATATAATTTAACATTTTTTTTTGTAATATTGACTGCGTATTTAAAATAAAGGTCAAAGGTTTCATGAACATCATAACCTTTCGCAGTAAAATTCTTTCAATTGACAAATGCTTGAGAACTTTTCAATTTAGATAATTTCCATTTTTCGAATAAGCATAGGTATGACTATTGCTTTTATAATTTATATTTACTTCACCCAAATAGCGAAAGCAACCATTTGCGTATAAAGCTAAAGAAACAGCCTATATCTACTGTCCCACCGCTGGGTACTGGCCTCATCTCCTTTCGGAGGAGATGCAGGAGCAATAAGTGCACTGAGATTTCACAGTGTAGGTTGGAAAACCTAACATGTATTCATATGTGTATATGTGTACATCCCGTAATCCCGATGTATATGTGTATGTATGTGTGTATATGTGTGTAAAAAATATGTGTGTGTGTGTCTGTGTATATGTGTATGTATTTAAAAAAATTTATTTTTTCATTTTTATATTAAATTTATGTGCATCATTACGAGTATGTCTTCTACGTATGTGTGTATCTCTAATGTACTTACGTACGTACGTTACGTACATAGGACTAATTATATATAGGTATATTGATGAGCAACGTTTAGTTTTAATTTATTATGGAAACGTATTTCAAATACACCCAGGCGGATCGTGCGTGTATCTGTGGTTATGACCACCGCGCATTACGCTGAGTCATAACCTTTTCACTGGCTCTATACATACCCCGTCACTTGTAATAGTAATCTGCTAAATTTTAACTGTTTATTTTATTTTTGTGATGTGTACAGTTCCAGTGAATAAAGGTCTTTCTTTCTTTCTTTCTATTCAAATTGGAATTTTGTATTCTTCTTACGTGCTGGCTTCCGCACGATGTTAAAGTTGTAAGAACTTATTTTGCTAATTTCCGCGTATTGAAATAAAATGATGTGTCCTGTCCAGTTTGAAGAGCACCTCCCGCCCTCTCACACTTAGCGGTTAGCCACCGCAGTCTACTTCACCTTGAACTTTAATATAATGGATTTCCGCAAAGTAACACCTGATTTTATTAGTTATCCTCACGATAATTTCTTTTACCGGGGAGCACGTAGTAAATTGGTTAGGTTAGTCTATTTTTTATAAAATAAGGGTGACAAACGAGCATAGAGTCCATCTAATGGTAAATAGATAACGCTGATCCTCGTTTCTAGTAAAAAGAATATATATACAAAACACAGCAGCATTTAGCAGCTTTTATGCTGGTAGTCTGCGAGTATGCTCCTCATGCTTAACGTAAAGAATAAATACCACAGTGAGGCCGATAGCGTAGGCCTATATCCAGCAATGGAATGTTTTGGGGCTAATAAAGGAGACATGATGTAATAATGACGGCTCTCTGCGCGGCGCTAAGTGCTGCGTGTTTGAATCTTGCACGGAACAAGTTGTATGGCCTGGATGTTTGACCTTATGAAATTTATGTATGTAAACTGCCCCCACGATACAGGAGAAAATCCTCGTATAGAAGTAACCTTCTTTTTTTAAAAGAAAAATAAATATATTATTATAATTATAATAATTATATATATATATATATATATATATATATAAATTATTATAATTATAATAATATATTTATTTTAATATATATATACTTAAAATTATATATTTATATATATAATTTTAAGTATTCTTAAAATATATATATATATATATATATATAATTTTAAGAATACTTTTAAACGGAATAATTAATTACCATTCAGGCGCTCTATTCGCTCCTTCCGGTCAGCAGCTTCCTCAGCCAGTTTGGAAGAAGTTTTGACACCTTCTCCGGACTTCTGCGTTTTCTCCATTATGGCACATGCGCGAAGAACGAATGCCGGAACCGTTTCTGCCTTCTCTTGTTTTGGTATCTCCACCAGTGACCAATATTGAGTTTCCAAACGAATGACATCCTGAAAATAAGTATATAGATGTTATATACTTAGAAAAATATTGAACAGTGTGCTTGTTGCTGTTTGTTTATCATTTGCAATATGTTTTACACAATATACGAGGCGTTTAGAACTGAACTTCTCAACGGAGATTAACCATCAGGACGGTACAGTATTTTAATGTCTGTGCAAGCATAGGTATACTCTCTATTCCGTAACTCTCACAGTCCGAGGTGACGGCAATCCGACACGATCACACGGATGGCTTTTGCTGAGTACGGGTGTGAAACACTGACACTGTCTAAACTCCTGGCTGTTACTAGAATTGTTATTGAAAAGAAAACCCAGTAACTGATTTTGACCAGACCCGGGATACGAACCCGGAACTACATGATCAGCTGTCAACCTTACGACCAATGCGGCAATAACGTATTATATTATGAATATTAGAGACATTACATCTATCTTAGTAATTAATAACTACTTAGGTAGGGGAAGGATAAGAGCACACAAACTAAAAAAAAAAACACAATAAGCTGGTTCAAACCTTTAGCCTATGAATACACTGAAAGTTTCTTACATTCTCAACTACATAATAGTCACACACATAATAACATATCTTTAAAAACATGTATGCACCTTAATCTAAAACTCTACTCTAATCTACATCGTTAGGTACATAAGCAGGATTTGTTTAATTAATCCTTCTTCTTATTAAATATCAATTTTCTCATAACTAATTCAATCAAATTCAATGAAAGGAATGATCTCTTCAATATATTTTATAAACATGTAATTTAAAGATGTATCATCCAAGAGGTGCGACTGGTGAACTATAGAACAGGTATTGTTAAATACCTTTATTAGACACCAGTCTCTCACAAATAACTCAATACGTTTATAGTTCATATTTCAAAATGTTTGTCATTAAATATTTGTAGTGAGAAAATAAATATAAATTCGATTCTAATTTCTATTCTATAATACTTGAATTATCTATATCATAGTATCAGTAATATATTGATGTGTTTATATTGTGGAGTATTCTAACTGTAACATATTTTTAGTCGACTTAAAAAAGTACGAAGCTTATAAAGACGACTGTATGGTTTCGGAAGTATGTTATGCGATATTTTCATAAATGGTGAACCGATTATGATGATTAGTTTTTATTAAATAGTTTGTATATTAGAAATGGTCCCATAAAAGTTAGCAGAAAAAAATCCATCCCTAAAGGTGGCAGAATAGGGAATGGAGTTTTTAATGTAACTATTTAGACGATATTGAGATTGTGATTTTCCTTATAATCCGCTCAAAAGGGTAAAAACATAAACTTCTAGTAAATTTTTTAATCTGTTGTTGTTTGAACGAACACTTTAAAATAAAAGTTTTTTTTTTTTCATATTTATATATATTACCAATGTACAAGTTAGCAAAAATAACTAAACATTTTTCATTTACGTTAGAACAAAGTAAATACCTAATAATGGAATAATTAAATGTGGGTATTTTAATTTAGTTCTGTTTTATTGGTTCGTGCTATGGATCAAAGTCGAATATGATGTCAGTGTTCTATTGATCACAATCTATTGTCTAATTAACATTTAATGTTTATTCTGTAATCTTTCGTTGCCCTTGTAATATAATAATACTTCAACAGTACTGACACGATTGCTTTGTTGTTTCACGATTTATTAAAACGAGTAAGGCGTATTTATTACCAACAAATATAATTGATATTTAATAGTTTCCCTGTACGCGAAATATACTGAATAGTAAAACAATTGAAATGTTCATATATAATTTGTGGGAAATGGAAACAGTTAAAGACCTTCAAATGATATTTAATTGTATTTTCAAAGGGGCACAATCTTGTTCTTATCGAAAGGTGATAGACTGTTCTTACATTCAGTCTGTTTGAGGCACTAAAACGTTCTCGTAAAACTAACTGACTATTGATATGTGTTATTTTAAATAAACCTAGGATAGTGATGAAGTCTCCTTGACGTATTTTAAACAAAAGGGACAATTTATGAATAATTTGAAGCTATAAACTACGCAAACCTGCAAAACTGCGTTAGGTATACTCCAAAAGTGGAAAACAAGAGTGTACACCCAATGCATGTTGTCAGGATGACATACTATTCGGAGAATGGGTTCTTCACGCCTGGCCGTGTGAGAGAGCTTAAGGTCGCTCAGCGGGCTTAGAAGGGGTTATGCTATGAGACGGCAATCCGATGCGACCAGAGAGAGATCATGCGCAGGACCAACGGCTCTACGAGCTTCAGACATACGGGATGGTCGTAAGCAATGCTGATCATGAGCTCCAGGGTCAGGAAGTTAGCGTGAAATTCACGCCTACACCGCCAAACTGCCTGACTCCTGACTGCTGCTGAGAATTTCTTAAGCGAAAAACCCAATTATTGATTTTGTCCAGCCCCGGCATTCGAACCCAGGAGATCATGATCAGCATTGTTTACGACCATTACACCAACGAGGCAGTCAAGTAGAAAGAGTAGAAATTATTATTACTACAGATCAAAGTTATATTTCTTTAGAAACAAGAAAACATAGTAGCTAAATTCCACAAAATCCTTTCGTAGGGTTGCCACGTTGATTGTTATAGTTTAGTTTTAGGAGAATCTTCTTTGTTTTTTGTTCAGTCCGTAAACACTCGAGTGTTGATAATATGAGTTTCTCTCGTAGCAGAATGGATTTGCCGCACTTGCTGAGTTTGATAAGTGAATTGGCAATCACAGTGCATAACGTCGATCATGTGTATGTGAGTTTCAACTTGCAGGATAAATGAGGAGGAAAATAAAAGAAATTGTCAATCAACGGCCAGCTAATAGTTTGCATGTCATCGTTTGCTTGCATCCAGCAATGAAATTAAGCGATCAAGGCATACGTGACAGCACGTAAAGCATGTCATGCCGCATTGACGTTTAAGGTCCACTTAAGTCTTAAAATTTTTATTTCACTTTATGCTAAGTGGAATTTCTTGTGAAGGCCAAAATTTTTAATAAAAATATAATCTATATTAAATATAATGAAAGTCATAATATTATGATGTGTTCTATTGCAAGCTGTGATACATAGATAGATTGATATAACACTCATATTAGTAAGCTGAGATAAATAGATACATGGGTATAATACACATATTAGTAAGCTGAGATAAATAGATACATGGATATAATACTCATACTAGTAAGTTGAGATAAATAGATACATGGATATAATACCCATATTAGTAAGCTGAGATAAATAGATACATGGATATAATACCCATATTAGTAAGTTAAGATAAATAGATACACGGATATAATACCCATATTAGTAAGCTGAGATAAATAGATACATGGATATAATATCCATATTAGTAAGCTGAGATAAATAGATACATGGATATAATACCCATGTTAGTAAGCTGAGATAAATAGATACATGGATATAATACTCATATTAGTATAAAGACTAAGGACAAGCAATTTATATTTATTTATTATTTAATTTTAAAACTATCGCACACTATGATCTATCGAGGACGTAGTTTTCACACATAAATTGCAATAGGACAAACACCCAGATCGAGAACAATTATTTGCAAGCTATACAAGTACTTGATCAATGCAAGATTCGAACCAACGGTCTCAGCGCTCAGCAGATTTTCAATTATAAATTAAAATGTAGATTTGTTGTCATCCATGAAAACTACGAATCCCTCATTTCTCCACCATAAAGCTGCTATTTTACGCAGAAACTGTGAGAGCGTGGACTTATCCCGGTCGAGCCGTGTTAAATTGCTAAATCATTAGCTCTATAACGTAAATAATTGATTATACAGGGTCATTTTTCAAAGAGTAGCCAAATTTTAAACTTATGTTCAAATATATAAATAACTAGCTTGCCAGGCAGACGTTGTTCTGCCCTTTTTGACGACCCTTTGTCATGTCCTATTAAAATCCTTAAATTCTAAAAAAAATTGTGTATCACTCATGGGCAAAAATTATCCTATCTCTTAAGTTGGACCAAATTTCACACGGTGTGAAAATTTGATTAAAAACCGGTTAAGTAGTTTAGGAGTCCATCACGGACAAACAACGAGATACGTAATTTTTATATATTAAGATGATATACCGTTAATGCAGTTTTTGAAAATACGAGTAAATAAGACACTAAAATAATGAGTAAATAAGGGTTTCTACTTTTATTTCAAATTATCTCGAATGTGATTTATGGGCAACAACGTTTTGGCCTACCGCTCACATCACGATCCCATACGAATGCATGCGTGCGCAGTAATATCCGTTAAAATAATGCATTATCACGCATTGCGAACTTAAATGTTAAAAAGAACAGAATGTTTGAGATTCTTTTTAATTAATTTCATTTTATCATTTGCCTATATTACTTATTCTGAACGTTCTATGGAAATTGGCCCAGTTATTGCAATATAACCCTTTATATGGTGTGCATGAAGGAGATGGTGACACTAACTTTTTTGTTAAGCTTAGTCAAAATGTATATAAGGTATATTCGATTTATTTTTTAACTGCTTTCCTACCACTGTCCAGTTACGCCTGCTGCTCCTACATTTGAGATATATCACGTAGCGCTAGCTCGTTATTTTTCGCAAGCGTCGCGAAACATCGCTTGTTAGGAAAATCACGGGTTGCTGTTTAATCAATTTTGTATGAACGGCTACGCTGGTGAGATATTTTCTTTTCTTGTATCAATTTAATTATTACTATAATATTCGTCATTTTAAATCGACATCTCGTCATGAGCATCGAACGGCATTAATTGTACTTTTATGAACTCATTTTATTCATTTATTGGTTATAAAATGATAAGGAATACCTACTGACATATTAAGCTATTTTTCGTCCAACCAGAGTCAATGTAGATTTAAAATATATAAGGCGTTGGAAAAACAGAATTTTAATTTCTTACGTCATAAAATAAAAATTATTTAGTTTATTCTCAGATCTGTTGAGATCACATAAAATATTTTAAAT